GCACCACAGCAGCTGGGCCTAGGATGTGTCGGCACTGAATTTAACTACACTCAGTGAAGTAAAGGGAGCCAGATCTGTGATGCATTATAAAATAGGGACTCTCAGCAGGGAAATATCGGGTCAGAGAAAAACAGAAAACATACGTCATGACTTTTCCCACAACCATTAGGAAATAGAAAAGTGACCAAATGGAAATTCTAGAACTGAAAACATGCAACGTCTGGAATTTTGTAATGTCACAGGATTAGCATAATAGACGAAAGGAGATGGCAGAATAAAATCAGAGAATTTGAGCTAGATCAAAGAAAATTATCCAGTCTCAAAAGTAAAGAGAGGGGCCGGCAGGTGGCATGGTGGTTAAGGGCGCTGGACTCCCACATGGACGATAGGTTCGAGTCCTGGTCCTGGCAACTTGCTTTCTCACTTTCCCCCTCTCTCTCTCCCTTGCTCTCGCTTTCACTCTGTCCTGGTCGAATTTGAAACAAACAAACAAAATTAAAAGAAATAATTCTTTTTAAAAAAAGTGAAGAGAAAAAAAATTCGAACCATAACAATGACATTAAAAGAACTTAGGATGGGACCAGCAGGTGGCACGGTGGTTAAGGCACTGGACACTCCCACATGGCCGACCACGGTTCAAGTCCTGAATCTGGTGGCTTGCTTTCTCACTTCCTCTCTCTCTCTCTCATTCTCACCCTCTGTCTCTCTCTGCTCAAACTAAAAATAAAAAATAAAAATAAAATAACTTAGGAGACCTTTGGATAATATAACAATGTCTAAAATACATAAAATTGGAGTCGTGGAAGAAAAGGAGAGAGAAATTAGAGCACCGTTTTTCTAAAGAAGATTTGGAAGATGCTCCAAATTTGGTGGAGTAAATCTACATAAACTTACAGATTGAAGAGCCAGCAGATGGTGTGGTGGTGAAGGTGCTGGGTTCCACATGGCCACCTGTGTGGTTTGAGGCCCCTACTCGGCACCTTGAAAATCACACTGGGTTCCTGTGCATGTGTGTGTGTTTGCCCAAAATCCCAGGAAGAGACTGAAGGAGAAGGGACTGTGGTGCGGCCATCCCTGGCGGGGAGGGGGTAATTTCTCACTTTCTGGCAAGCACATGTGTCCTATAGGGGAAAAAAATGACAGATTCAAGAAGTACAGTAGTCCTAAAACAAAATAAATATGAGGTTGGGGCCGGCAGGCGGCCTGATGGTTGAGAGCACTGGACTTTCGCATGGCCAGCCATAGTTCGAGCCCCGGACCTGGACCTAGTCTCTCTCTCTTTCTCTCTTTCTCTCTCTCTCTGTCCTTCTCTGGTCAAATGTTTAAAAAAGTAAATAAATAGGATGCATGCACTCGCCAGAAAGATAGAGAGACAGAAAGTGAGAAATCACCCCCAGGGGGCATGGCCACGCCACAATCCCTTCTCCTCCATTCTCCTCTCGGGATCTTGGGCATGCATGCACACATGCCCAATGTGAGTTTAAGCCACTGGGTCCGGGACTCGAACCGCGGTCGACTACATGGGAGTCCAGTGACATAGCCATTATGCTAACTGCTGGTCCCGAGCTATTAAAGATACCACACTTAGCCCTGATTTGACCCTTTGCAGATGCCTTTTGCTCTACAAGGGTCACTCTTCTCTCCCCAGTGCTTTCCACCCATGTCAATGATAGAGTCTCACCCCACGTTCCAGCTCCAGGCCGCCTGCTCTTCCAGGCCTCTCCTCATTGCACAGGCCTCTTTGGGCACTTCAGTACGCAGCCCCAGAGCATATGAAAAGCAACCACCGGGACCAGCAGTTAGCATAATGGCTATGTCGCTGAACTCCCATGCAATTGACCGTGGCTTAGAACTCACGCCGGGCGTGTGCGTGCGTGCGTGCCCAAGATCCCAAGAGGAGAATGGAGGAGGAGGGATTGCCATCCCCCCTGGGGGGTGATTTCTCGCTTTCTGTCTCTCTGTCTCTCTCTGGCAAGTGCACGCGCCCTATAGCAAAAACCTCTCCACGAAAAAACAAACAAACAAACAAACACAAGCACCACCCATTGCTAGCACGCCTTAGCGGTGCCAACCGCCTTCCCTCCATTGCAGTCTCTTCGCTCAGTTCTCACGAAGGCCCGTGAGGTGGAGGGCAGGTCTGGTGGTGCAGCTGGTTACAGACGGCACCGCCGACACCCGGAGAGGGGGAGCGGTTTTCACAGAACGGCACAACCGGAGTCCAGCAAAGTGCCCCTGGGCCTCAGTTCCTCAGGCACTTACTTGGCCCGGTTCTCTGTCCACCCGGCCACACTGTCACATCACACATGGTACCCGCCTTCCACTGACTTGTCACCTTCTTGGATTCTATGCATTTTACAGGTCATAAAAAATGAAACACGAAGACAATAAACACAATAAACCTCTACATGATAAACCCCTTCATGGGGGGGGGGGCCCTCAAACCTGGACAAACGTCAGAAATACTTGCAAAAACTACCAAAGTCCAAAACTCACAGCAGACCCACCAAGTCGGAGTCTCTCTAGGGTTGGGGCCAACAGGTGGCAAGGTGGTTGAGGCACTGGACTCCCACGTGGCTGACCGGTTCAGGTCCCGGACCTGGCAGTTTGCGGTCTCATTTTCTTTTCCTCTCTGTCTCTCTCTGGTCAAAACGGAAGAACAATGATAATAAATAAAATTAAAAAGAAAAAAAAAGAATCTCTCTGGGGTTGTCTGTTTTCAGCTCTCCGGGAGGGCCTGAGAAACCCGTCGTTAGGTGGCTAATTAACAAACGACTCATCCAAACTAGGCCCCGTGAGGAGAGAGCCTGTGAGACGGCAGGGCCTCCCTAAAGGAGGGGGGTCTGTGCAGGGCTGTGAAGGAGGGGAACTGCCATTGGCAGAGAGAAGAAGAGGCATCTTTCAGGCCAAGGGTCTCAGAGAGGTGCGACACGGATGAAGGGTCAGACATTCATTTTTGTTTTTCCCTTCGGAGAGGTTTTTTGCTAAAGGGTGCATGTGCTCCCCAGAAAGACAGAGAGAGACAGAGAGAAACAGGCAGAGAAATCACCCCCCAGAGGGGATGGCCACACCACAATCCCTTCTCCTCCATTCTCCTCTCAGGATCTTGGGCGCACACATGCACCCGGAGTGAGTTTAAGCCACGGGGTCCGGGACTCGAAGCGTGGTCAGCTACATGGGAGTCCAGCAACGTAGCCATTACGCTAACTGCTGGTCCTGGATTAGACATTTCTGAGTAGAAGTGTAACCTCTAGGAACTGGGGATAAGGAGTAGAGTCCAGTGGCCGGTGCAGAGGAGACAGGAGCCTCGGGTGGACCCTCCCAGCACAAAGCTCTTAGCCTGGGGCTCCCGATCTCGGCCAGCTGAGAGTCTACACTCCAGATCGTCCTCTGGATACCAACCCAAATAGAATGACAGCTCTGGCTCTCGTCTGCCTGTGTTCTCCTCACTCCCCCAGACTTCGGAGTCCCTCGAAGGGCTTTGTTTATCTCTCTACCCCGTGACGGGCGAGTCTCAACAGGGGCGATCTTGTCCTCCAAAGGCAACACGTGGTGAAGTGTTTGGTTGTCCCCTCTGAGGGAGGGGTGCTACTGGCATTAGCGGGACGGTGCCTCACAGCCTGAGGTGTGCAGTTACGACAGGGACGTGCCCGTCCCAAGAAGTCAGCAGCAACAATGACAAACAGCGCCCTGGGAACAGCGACAAGTGCACGCCACGGCTTTATTCACGCATTAAATCTGTCATCGTGTTATTTAATATTAGTAACCAGCAGTATTTATTACTTAATAAATCTTCGATGGTGACTATCCCAACAACCAATGAATATGAATAAGGTCTGTGTCTTCCAGCTGCCTTCACTCCTGGGTTTTATATTTCGTAGATAGAAACATTACAAAACTGGGGAGACCAGTAAAGAAGGGCTAACTTTTTTTTTTTTTTTTTTGAGAGGTTTTTGCTATAGGGCATGTGCGCTCGCCAGAAAGACAGAGAGAGACAGAGAGAGGGAAAGCGAGAAATCACCACCCAGGGGGGATGGCCACGCCACAATCCCTTCTCCTCCATTCTCCTCTCGGGATATTGGGCATGCACGCACACGTGCCTGGGGTGAGTTGAACCCACCAGGTCCAGAACTCGAACCACGGTCAACTACATGGGAGTCCAGTGATGTAGCCATTATGCCAATTGCTGGTCCCTAGAATTGCTAACTTTTATTATTGTCAAATACAGGCATTAAACATAAAGCTATCAGGGGTCCAGCAGGTGTTGTGGTGGCTGGGTCCCTGGACTCCCACACGGCCGACCATGGTCTGAGTCCTGCACCCGGAGGCTTGCTCTCCTACTTCTTTCTCTCTCTCTGGTCAAATTAAAACAAATAATAATGATAATAAATGAACTAAACTAATTCTGAAAAATAAAGCTATCAGTTACTATATAATAAAAGATACTTTTTTTTTTTTTTGAGAGGTTTTTGCTATAGGGCACGTGTGCTTGCCAGAAAGACAGAGAGAGACGGAGAGACAGAAAGCAAGAAATCACCCCAGGCCACCACAGGGAGGAATGGCCACTCCGCAATCCCTTCTCCTCCATTCTCCTCTCGGGATCTTGGGCACGCACGCACATGCGCCCAGCATGAGTTTAAGTCACTGGGTCCGGGACTCAAACCGCGGTTGACTACGTGAGAGTCGAGCGACATAGCCATTATGCCATCTGCTCATCCCAATAAAAGGTATTTTAACAATAAAATATTAATAAAAATGAAATAGGGAAGATATTGCCAAGAAACATCGACATCATAGCCAAAAATTGCTGTAGGCTGGTGACAAGTTCAATCCAGCCAGCTCGGGAGCGCCACCCACGGACACGGGAGCGTCTGGACCGGAATTCAAGCTCCCAAGGGCATGATCCAGTTTACAGGAAGCCCGTGGGCTCCTAATGCTGGGCAGCCCGTGGAAGGCTCCCCGGGAGGGTGCGCACTGCTGCCCACGCCGCTGCCCACGCCTACCTTGTACTCCAGGGACAGCAACGTGTCTGTCTTGGAAGTCCAGCTCCACTTGTGGACGACATAGCCCTTGTGGTCATTGGTGGTCCCGCCCTCCTCGTCCAGGACTAAGACGTACGGGCAGCTAGGGGACAGAGATGAAAGCTTCCACCAGGCTCCTGAAGGGCCCTCAGCACCACAGGCCCCAGGCAGGCAGGGCCTGAGACTCCGTCCCTGGATGGAGGGACAGAGGGGGTCACGCAGGCAGCTTCACTGTCCCTGCCTACTGTGCTCCGAGGCTCCTGTGCACCTGCTGGTGTGACCAGAGGAGTCTGTAGGAATGGGCCAGTCCCAGAGAGAGGACAGGAAGGGTGGGAGTCGTGTTCTGTTGCACAGAAGCGTGGACATGAACCAGACACCCCCGCGGGAGCTGGGTGTTTATAAGCTGAGAGCAAGGTGTTCCTTCCAAGAACAGCTCTCTATGAAAAGCCAGACAAAACCAACGTTAGGCATTGACCAGACAAAAGAATGTAAAATTCTCCATGGGAAACAAAAAGTTCTGTAACTTTTGCTTTACCAAAAATATATGTATATAAAATAAATGAATATATATTTAAAAAAAAAAAAAAAGAAAAGAAAAACCTTTGGCTGGCAAGAATATGTGCTTCTCTTAAGAGATTCATAGACTGAGACCAGCAGTTGGTGTAATGGCTATGTCGCTGGACTCCCATGTAGTTGACCACAGTTCGAGTCCCACACCCGGTGGCTTAAACTCATGCCGGGTGTGTGTGCGTGTGTGCCCAAGATCCCGAGAGGAGAATGGAGGAGAAGGGATCTCTCTGTTGCTCTGGCGAACGCATGCGCCCTATAGCAAAAACCTCTCCAAAAAAAAAAGAAAGAAAAAGGAAGAAAGAAAGACCCATAGATGTGGTGCCCGTGGGCCCAGGTGCTGGCACAGTGGGGACACAACCCTCTGTGAGGCAAACTGACCCACATGGGATGGTCTGGACCAAAAATATATATATCAGTGGGGTTTCTGCCTCTCTCTCGCCCGCTCCTCATATAAAACGCTTTCTCCACTAGGGAACTCTTCCATGAATCTAACCACCCACAAAGAGCTCAGTGCCCTGGGATACAGGTGGAGCAGGACCCGTGGCATTGCCTTTCTTACTGGCTGTGGCATGGATCCAGCAAGCCAGAGCCGGGTCTCAAAGCACCTGTCTATGCAGGCACTGCTTCGGCCCTGTCTCACTCTCTTTCCAGATCTCTGGACGCCATCTAGCCCCTCTTTTATCCATGGAATCCCAGTCACCACCACAGTCCCCCTACCCCCTAACACCCCCACAGACACTCCCATGGAGCTGGGGTTCCCCGATCCACTTACAGGGTCTTTAGGTTGTAGTGAACACAGCCCTGGCCTTCGGCATTAAACAGGGCCAGTAAAGAGGAGCTGGGTGTGTCATTGAAGAGGCAGGTGATGGCTCGCCCTTTGCAGCACGTGGGGATCTGACACATGGCGATGTTTCCGGAGGGGTAGCTGGCAGAAACAGTCAAGCAGAACTAACAGAGAACTGTCCGGGGGTCTGCTCTCTTGGAAAGCAGCAAGACAAGAGATTCCTCCAGTACAAAAGATCTGCGATAAGATGAACAGCTCATTTCACACGAGCAACTATGGAGGCCAGATGGTAATAGGGCGAGACATTAACGAGCCCAAAGGAAAAAAAAAAAGAAAGCACAAAACTGTCAGGCAAGACTTCTATATGAAGCAAAACGATTCCTCATGAATGAAAGAGAAACGAAGACATTCTCAAATAAAGAAAAGCCGAGGGCGTTCATCACGCCCTCATCATCGGCAGACCTTCCCTCTAGGAATATGCTAAAGGGAATGATTCAGGCTGAAAGAAAAGGACTTTATATAATAACCAAAGTCAGATGAAGGAGGAGGGAATTCTGGGAAAGATAAGGGCATAGGGCCAGCCCTGTAGCACAGCATGTAAGTGCCATGCACAGAATGCTAGACCTTGGACGAAACTGTAGTTTGAATCCCAGCTCCAGTGACTTGAAAAGGTCCCCAGCAGCAACCACACGTGCATGTGTGCCCACAATTTTAACAGGACAGAGAAACATTACAGAAAAAAAAGGATTGCAGTGTGAC